CCCCCCCCCCCTTAGTACGCCACTGCCATGCAGTATAGGCCAGCAGGGGAGGGGGTCACCCTCAGTCTGAACATAATCGGACACTGTAGGTACAGTGGTGCGGCCAGCTGGGGGTCACCCAGCGTGCAAGAGGGGGTCACCCAACAAGCACAAGCTTACCATGCAGTATAGGCCAGCAGGGGAGGGGGTCACCCTCAGTCTGAACATAATCAGACACTGTAGGTACAGTAGTGCCAAAGTGGTTAACCATATAATAAAGTAATCAGACATTGCCGGTCCAGCAGTGTAGACGGCAGGAGGGGGTCACCCTCATATAACCAGAACCGGGCATTGCAAATCCAGCAGTGCTGTAGGTAAGAGGGGGTCACCCTCAGTGTGGTATAATAGAGGTCTGTACACCCAGCAGTGTAGTCAGCGAGAGGGGGTCACCCTCATTATGGTTATAACGGGACCCTGTAGGTCCAGCAGAGTAGTCCACAGGAGGGGGTCACCCTCAGTATCTGCTTATTGCTGGGCACTGTAAGAACAGAAGCTCAACCAGTAGGAGGGGTACCCTCTTTTATGGGAATACCCGGACGCTGCAGGTCCAGCAGTGCAGACTGCAGGAGGGGTACCCCCTCGGTATGATAATAGCAGGACATTGCCGGAGCATTAGTATAGGAAGCAGGAGGGGGTCACCCTCAGCATTAATCTTACAGGACGCCGTAGAGCCAGCAGCCAACATAGGTAGCCATGTTGCCAGAGGGAGGGGGTCACCCAGCCCACAATGGTGTCACACGTCCATTATTATGGTCCAGTAGCGGGTAGAGCCCCAGAAATATGGATGGGGGGGTTCACCCCCCCAGTAATAACAGGTCTGAATGTGGGGCCAGTAGCCCCCATGAGGGGTAGGAGGGTCCATATAGCGAGAAGCTGACTCACAGACCAGTCAGGTATTATATTAGGATACACTTTTGAAGTGTATGTGTAGTGGAAAATTTAAGTCCCTTGCAAGAAGGGCAGCAAATCCTAGGCAGGGGAGCTAGGTGCTGAAAAACAGGCCATTTAATTTTTATGAGAAAAAGACTGAACCTAAGAGAAAGACTTGATTAGCATATAACACATGTGGCATAGTCTTGTTAAAGATTTTTATTTGAGCAGTAACATGTCCCTTTAAATCTGAGATTCACATGTAATAGTAAAAAAGTGTGACAAGTCTACTGCCAAGATAGAGAACCTAGTCATTGCATCAGACATAGTAAGCTGCAGTTGTGAGCGTGCCTGGGACAGATCCTGCTATCCAGTATCTGTTACATATGCAGCATGTGAGACAGGCACAGTAAGTAG